AGAAAAAGGCAAAACATTGAAAAACAGTCCGAAAGTTTGATCTGGCCCAAACAGTCAACCAAAGTTTTCAACTTCCCTGTTCCTTCCTGGCCATAAATCATTTTACCTGATGGAAGTATTCCATAACATTCCTAGGCAATCCTCACATCAATTCTTGTGTTGTGACTGAGGATGTAGAAGTGATGTTCTCAAGGCTATCAGGAAGACCATGGCAGGAAATCAACACCACCAGAAGGTTAGAATAGAGTAACAGAGGTGAAAGGGACCTTGGAGGTCTTCTAGTCCAACCTCCCTGCTTAGGCAGGAAACCCTACACCACTTCAGACAAATGGATATCCAACATCTTCTTAAAAACTTCCAGTGTTGGAGCATTCACAATCTCTGAAGGTGAGTTGTTCCATCTATTAATTGTTCTGTCAGGTTGCTTTTCTTCTTGGTTAAAACTACTTGGCTAAAACTCAGCTAAAACTACTTTGATTGAGATTGTCTATATTAAGAGAACTTTTAAAGTTAGATTGTGCTGTACCTCTTCCACTTCCTTATGCTCCTTAAACACATTTGCTCTGATTAGATTCAACACATTCCCTTCTGCAGTTATCAACAATAAATACCAATAAAAGGCGTGAGGGGAAATCTCTCCCACAAATGACTTTGCTCCAGTGACTCTCACAGAGGAAGTTGTATTGAAATTTTTATTTGGGTCTGCATGAGGTATTAATCCACCCACTCGTAAAGGAATTCCCAGGCAGTGACAATAAATGATAAGTCTCCCATCTTTTAACAAACCATAAAAATAAGTTTTAGTCATAAAATAGTGAATTTTTGCCCAGCTGCTACAAGAGGAAGGAAACAAATATTGTTCAATAAAACTGCATTTCTCAGATAGCTCTCCCATTTTTTCCCCTCCCTATTCAATTACCGTATTTTTCAGACTATAAGACGCACCGGTGTATAAGATGCACCAAGATTTCAAAGAGGTAAGAAAGAAAAAAAGTTTTTGTCCACCCCGGCCTCCAAGAGCACTCTCTGCAGGCTTCAGTAGGGCTGGGGGAAGGCAAAAACTCCCCTCATTTTTCACAAAACAGGGGCATTTTTCTCTTCCCCCAGCCCTGCTGAAGCCTGCAAAGTGCTTCTGGGGGGTGGAGGAAGGCAAAAACAGCCCCATTTTATTGAAAAACGGCCCATTTTTCACCAAAACAGAGGCTAAAAATGGCTGTATTCGATGTATAAGACGCACCAACATTTCCACACTCTTTTTTTGGGGGGGGGGAAGGGTGTGTTTATATTCCGAAAAATACAATACTACTACAATACTATAACAAAGATCCCATCACTTGTAATTCTCAATAGTGGGACTCTCAGATTGGTCTTCCACTTCCCTGTTGTATCTAAGATCATGGGAAAGCTGGAGCACAATGAGACCATTCTTCATATATCTGCAAATGAAACTTCTAGCTCAACTACAGCCCAGTGAATTTAAAAACCACACTTGATCTTTCGTGACCCGGAATTCATGTTCCTTTGTAACTGTCACTATTAATATCTCAGCAATGACATTTTACACCAGGGATAATATCTCAAATATCCACAAAGATTTATATTTGATCTTCCATATCACAAGGCTCAGGGGGAATATAATATATTAGATTTAGAGTGGCTGAGAAAATGGGGTTATGGGAAATTGTGTGTAGAATTCCATAGTGTAGCCAATAAATATTTGAATTCCAAAATGTTTCGCTCATCTTTCTAAAATATTAACACTCGTTTGGGTTTTTTCCGTGCAGAGTTAGGCTTTTGGCAGAGAACTGCTGGAGTTTATTCTTATTTTTTAAAAAACTACAAAGTAATGAAACCAGTCAGTCTGCAGCACCAGCTGCCTGGCACAAAAGTCAGTGATAATAGCCATTTAAAAGCCAGCACAGAGCAAAATGTTTGGTAGGAGCCATGAAATAGGAAAATGTTCTTAGTGTTTCGACAGAATCATTGAGAAGATAAATTTTGGAATCCAAATAATTAAACACATGGTCCAACTGTAAAAAAATAATAATTCTGAGTCTGCGTAGGGCACATTTGAAGAAAATGCTACCCAACAGATAGAAGAGAATATTTAGAGCTCAGAGTTGAATTGTGGGGTCCTTGGTGTTCTCTGAGCTTGGTTGTTTTCTTGCAGGCATTTCATTACCAAACTAGGTATCATTATCAGTACTGGGACACTACTGGGATAGCAGGCTGGGAAATCCAGCTCCTGACATTTCCCTCTAGGTCAGTGATGGCTAACCTTTTCCAGACCGTGCTCAAAGCATGCATGTACACCTGCAAATGTGCATGCGTGCACTCAAATCCCCCAAATGCAATGAGCTTGCATCACTGCGCATGCACCCCGCCCCTCCAATCATGCGTATGTGCTCTCTGCACGTGCCTTGCCCCACGTGTATGTGCGGCAGAGACCCGAAGACCAGTTGGGCGATGGGAGGCACACATGCATGCATGGCAAAGCTGAACTGGAGGGATAGCTTGCATGCCATCAGAGAAGGTGCTGGGTGCCACCTTTGGCCCGTGTACCATAGGTTGGCCATCATGACTCTAGGTAGTATAGTTAAAAAACAACAAACTATGGTTTGTTTTAAGCTTCCTGTGTTTCTGGCTGGCCAAGCCTCTCTCATATGAGCAAGTAATCATCATTGGATGCACAATGGACATTTTAATAGTACACTATGGGACAGAAATAACTTTGGCTTTGAGAGGCTTATACGTCCCCTGTATACGTAGCACCCTAATTCTAATCAAGTAAACAGCTTCTCATGTGGATCTTGAAAGACATTATAGAAATATCTAGGAAGGGAGAATGAGTCAGAGGTGGGTTACTCTCGGTTTGGGCCAGTTCAGCCAAATCGGTAGTGGTATTTTGGCTTGGGTCACAGAACTGGCAGCGATCCAGGCTAGCCACGCCCCCGAACCAGTTCCTGGTCAATGCTGCTGTTGCTAGCATGTTGTTTAGTAGTGCGTGTGTGTGCAGTTCATTGTAAATTGTTCTGTCCATGCGCAAAGTACAATTTACATTGAACTGCACATGCACACGCAAAGTGAACCAGCAATGAAACCGGGAGCAACCCACTTCTGGAATGATTGTATTATAAAAGGGATGGGAAACTTTGGTTCTGTCATTTAGGATATCTAAATGCCAAATTCTCTGCTTTGGGTTCAGTCAGAGTTTTATCAAATCGCAAAGCATTTAGTACAGACAAGGTAAGGCTGCAATATGCCACATCATCATTCATTTGCTTTAAGGAGGAAAAAAGTGTAACTAGCAAAATGAGATGAACTAAGGAATTTTCCTAGTAGACTTGCATTCAGCCAGAATCTAAGATATCAGAGGTTTAATCGGTGCCTAAGGGAAATGCAGCCTAATTCTAAACATGTCAGGACATTGGAAGTTGATTAAGGAACTCCTAGTAAGATTTTCAAGAATTATGATTAGATTATTTCTAAACTTGGAGATTCTGCATAACACACAACTGAGCATCACAGAGCATAAAACTCTGAAATTCAGCTTTAACTATGTAGATTAAAGGGAACATAATTATTACTTCGAGCATAATTATTATCAAATTGACTGGCAAATTTAATAACTACAAAGGATGGTTTGGACGCTTGTCCAAAAAGCTTTCTTCCTTGAATGAGTCAGCAGGTAGGATGATATTAGCTTCCCTGATATTCAAAAACAACTAGTAACATTTTAAATTGGACCCCCAATTTAAAATGATGATAGATTAAAATCACCAGGGAATCAGTTTAGCATTCAAATATGGAATGCTATTTTCTGTGTTAATATGAAGCAATGGAATTAAATTTCACCTTGGATACACAATTCCACTGGCAAGAATAAAAGAAAAAACTGATCATAATGCGTTATATTCTAGTGGAGATTAGACTGTACATACACTGTGATAGTAGTGGCATTACAGTGACAAGAAATTAAAACCCTTTATCTAAATCTAAACCTCGCTAAACCTTCTCACAAGATTCGATTTCTTTAGATTCGAGAACATAAGCAACTCTAGAAACTAATGAAGATTAGCTATCCATCCATCCATCTAGCTATCTTGTGTGTGTGTGTGTGTGTGTGTGTGTGTGTGTGTGTNAGTTAAACTTATATACTGCTTTATAGGGCTTTCAGCCCTTTCTAAGCGGTTTACAGAGTCAGCATATTGCCCCCATAGTATGGGTCCTCATTTCACCCACCTTGGAAGGATGGAAGGCTGAGTCAACCTTGAGCCGGTGAGATTTGAACCGCCGAACTGCAGAACTGCAGTCAGCTGAAGTAGCCTGCAGCGCTGCATTTAACCACTGCACCACCTCAGCTCTGTGTCAGAGGCAGAGAGGGGGCCAGAGTCGTATGCCAGTTATCAGCTGCCTTCAGAGTCAGACATCAGATGAACAGCTGGAGGCTGTTCCCACTGTGTGTATGCACAGAGTTGCCAGATGAAGGGAAAAGCTACTTGGGAGTAAGGCCAGACAATGAATGGTCCCTCTCAGAGGAAATAAAAGAGGAGCAAAAGGGGAGTGGAGTTTGCAGGAGACAATTAGTTCATTAATTGGTTAGTGACTCTCTGAGACTCTTGCCAAGTTTTGCAGATATCAGCTTGGCAGCTCTCCAGGCCAGGTAAGTTGTGTGACTCTAAATCCTCCTGTGAAAGATTTTGCAGGCTGTGAATGACAATAATAAATTAAACAATAAATTAATAAAAAGAGTTTTTTGCTGGGACAAGGAGTTTGTTTCATGCTCTTGGGAAGCTTCAGTCAGAACAGCCATCTTTTCATTTCTCCTCCCACCGTTTGACGTTAACTTAACTTTGAAGTTATGGCGCTTCTTGGTTGATATCTGAAATAGTAACTGAATTTTTCATGCAACCACTCATTAGAAATCAACTAGAACCGTTACAACGGAATGGTGATTCTTGAGAGGTTCAGGATTTATTTAGCCTTTGAATTTTACTCACCGTATAAAATGTAAGTCCCAAGTGGTTTGAGTAGACTGAGGCCTTTACCAGTATTTTCACCGCAAAGACAATCCAGGACAATGTCTACACCATCTGCAGAGATTCTAGAAAGCACAGAAACACTGAGATGATACTTGCTATTCAATGTCATCATAACTTCAAATAATCAGTAAACGGGACAGTTGTTACTTGTGGACTACCTGTGTCAGGTGCTAGGCTGGTCCTGGGGAGGTGAAGACCCAAATCCACAAATACTGAATCTACAAGATCTCTTTAGAATGCCCATTATGTCATTCAAGCATTTCCCTCCCTCGACAGTCCACTTTAGCGAATGTTTGAACTGATCCTTTATCTTTGTGTATTGGTCTACCCATCACTCAAATTTATTCTGTTTTTAAAAAGTGGGTAGAACTGATCTATGCTACCCCTCCATTCTTTAATTAAAATGTGTAGAAGACTATCAGCCCAACAGGCTAAGAAACCGTTCTCATGGAAGTCAGGACTTCTTACATTGAAACAGCCATAATAACAGAATCTTCAGAGCCTGGATGTGCCCTTCCCCATCTTTATGTCAACTAGGGAAGGGCCAGAGCTACACATGAAGCTCCAATTAAAGTGATTGATTGCTAAACAGCTTGTGCACAGGAATCTTCTCAAATGACGGTCATGGAACGCAAGGTAAATGGGACTTAATCTACTTGTGGCTACATAGGGATTCTAGATTGTTCTCTCTCTTACCTCTGCCCCCAGACTCTAAGAAGCTTATCTGAGACATTTTTCCCAAATTACTTTCTTAAAATGGAGTCAAGTCCTGTTTATCTGTCCGTCGCCTTGATAGTGGCTCTTTTTCCTGTCTTTTAAGGCCATTCCCTGATGCCCTCTACAAGGTATTAGTAGGAGATGAGAAAGGCAATGCATAGAAGTCAACTATTAAAATATTTACTTTGGAGTAATCCATGGCTCTCTGCAAAGATAAGAATAGCAGTCCAGCAGGTGGAATGATTTGGCCAACCTTGCTGATATTCAAAGACAATGCAATGTCAAATGTATTAGTGCTGAATAGGGAATGTTCAAATCAAAGAGTTGCAGCTAGACTGTTTTTTAAGGGTTAGAAGAAAACAAAGACAGCCTGATTCTTTACTGTTGCCAAGAAAACCATAGAGGCTTATTTATCTATAAAGTCACCAAGAGCTGTCTTAAATTCAAAGGTGAAGTTATCTTAGTTTTTGTTGTTAGTTGTGAAGTTGTGTCTGACCCATTGCAACCCCAAGAACAACATTCCTCCAGGCCCTCCTGTCCTCTACCATCCTCTGGAGTCAATTTAAACTCATACCGACTGCTTCGGTGACTCCATCCAGCCACCTCCTTCTCTGTCGTCCCTTTCTACTTTTTCTCTCCATCGTTACAAGCATTAGGCTCTTCTCCAGTGAGTCCTTCCTTCTCATTAGGTGGTCAAAGTATTTGAGTTTCATCTTCAGGATCTGGCCTTCTAAAGAGCAGATCCTCTTTAGGACTGACCAGTTTGATCACCTTGCAGTCCAAGGAATTTGCAGGAGTCTTTTCCAGCACCATAGTTCAATGGCCTCAATTCTTTGGTGCTCAGCCTTTCCTATGAAGTTGTCTTTAGTATTGCTGCTACTGCCCCCTTGTGCATAGGGATGTTTTAATTGCCCCACAATCAAGAATTCTTTTCTATACTTTTATAGGGCATTTGATTGTTAAAAACCCACAGGTCAGAATTGTTCAATTTTGTTTTATCTTGCAATCAATTAAAATGAAAATACAGACCATCTACAGTATTTAGAAAATGGAGAACATATTCCTCTATATGTAAAGGGGAAGAAGAAACAAAACTCACACTCTACTTTTGAAACTCTCCTTTTACTCATTCTGAACTTACTTTCTTTTCCCCTGCTTTTTATCTTCCCTGCCCTAAGCTAAAGAAGGAACAGTTTCTATAAGAAGTTGAAACATCTTTGTAGACATTCTTAAAAACTATGCCAAGGACCTCCTGAAAAATAGGCTTTAGCCAACAGATGTTTTGGAGGCTTAGGGTTAGGTTGCATAGAAGAGAATGCCAGGTAGAACCCTATCCGTAAGGTAGTAAATTCAAATTATTATATCAATAGCACTTAGACTTATATACTGCTTCATGGTGCTTTTACAGCCCTCTCTTAGCAATTTACAGAGTCAGTCTATTGCCCCCCAACAATCTGGATCCTCATTTTACCCACCTCGGAAGGATGGAATCAACCTTGAGCCGGTGAGATTTGAATTGCCAAACTGCAACTAGCAGTGCTGCACTCTAACAACTGTGCCACCTCGGCTTTTCATTATTTCACTAGTTTCATTGTGAGCTTCCTTAGAGCCACATGTACAGAAAGATCAAAGGCAATTGTGCAGTGAGAAGCCAACGTCAGCCTACATTCTCAAAAAGCAAATTCCATGTTGTAAATTTAAGTCTACATCTTTCAGCTTGCCAGAACTCTGGACTAAAATCTCTTAGAATTAAGACCAATGGATGCCATTGATGGATGATGAAATCCAAAGAATCTGGATGGCACCAGGTTGCCAGGTTTCTGCCTTAAATTAACCAAATCTGTGAAAACTGGCTTCAACCATTCTCTGCATAGAATATATGCATCAATCTCTATAGCAGTTGTTAAAAGATTGTTTCAATGGCTCATTTCAATTAAATAATTATGAAAATCACTGGTGCACTCATTACGGATAATTGTACTCTATGGAGTCTGAAGGGCATAAGTTGCACCAAATAATGTCTAACTCCCAAGACCAGCTTTTATCTCATGACAATTATTGTCTGAAATTGGTTAATAGCTGTTATGAAGATATAGGTTAAACTAACTGATCTAGTTTATGAATCTTTTCTTTTCTTTTCTAGAAACAGGAAGAGCATTGGGCATCTGATGACAGAGAAAGTGATGGAATTATATTACATGTAAATAGTTCGCTAGGATTAGGATGTTATCTGGGCATACTAAGCTATAGGAAATTGTTTATAAAGTTCATTTTAATTCTGCACTTTCCCCCAAAAAAGTAATCAAAGTCAACATGTATTTTTAAAAGAACGGTGGAACTGCAGGATTCAGCCACATCAATGGAGCAAAATTTTGGAAGTATTCTTTAAGGAAGAAAGTTATGGATCAAATGGTACAGGTAAAACAGACAGAAGACCTAAGCAATTTGTTTTGTTTTCCATACTGAGTAAAAAAAAAAACCAGAACAGAATAGAGCTGGAAGGGACCTTAGAGGTCTTCTAGTCCAGCTTCCTGCTCAAGCTGGAGAACCTATACAATTTCAGACAAATGAATGACTGTCCAGTCTCTTTATAAAAACCTCCAGTGATGGAGCACCCACAATTTATGCTGTTCCAATGGTTAATTGTCCTTACTGTTAGGAAGTTTCTCCTTAATTCCAGGTTGCTTCTCTCTTTGATCAGTTTCCAACCATTATTTCTTGTTCTGCCCCCCCTCCCCGGTGCTTTGTAGAATAATTTGACCACCTCTTCTTTGTGGCAGCCCCTCAAATACTGGAATACTGCTATCATGCCACCCCTAATGCTTCTTTTCTTTAGACTAGCCAGACCCAAAATCTTCAGCCATTCTTCATAGAGGAAGATAGGATTTTAAACATTATCATCAGGATACTTCTAAAAGAGAAGGAATTATTTTGCAACTCTGTGATCTGTCCATTGGGGCCACTCTCATGAGAGCAATTTGCAGATTAGCTCACGTTATTGTGATCCCTTTGCTATGGCATCAAACATCTCAGAAATCCTACTATTTCCAATTTCACGCTTTACATCCAAAACGGTAACAGCCACAAAAAGTACCAGCAAGCTTGGAGAAGAGGGAAATCCATCTTCCAGAAGGATAGCGGAGAGACTGCTAAAGGCAGGGAAACCCTAAAATAGCTCACTGAAAACGGAGCTTCTTGCAAAGCACGGTCTGCTTGTTAAAGAAAACCAGAATATCAATGCGCAGATTCTGTAAGTATGCCACACTGTGTGCTAATAACTGGGACCATTGAGCCAATTTTTGCTAAAATCTTCAGTTTATAGTTCTTCAATTTCAGTTTTCAGTTCTAGATACTTGTGGCACACCAGCAACCAGCACAGCTGGCAGAAGTTTCAGACAGTGAGGAGGTTGGGGAGGAACATGGGGCAGTCCTGGAGTCTGGGGAAGGCTCTGATGAGGGCTCTGTGTCGGAGGCAGAGATGGGGCCAGAGCCGTATGCCAATTATCATCTGCCTTCGGAGTCAAACATCAAGGAGACAGACAAACAGCTGGAGTCTGTTCCCAGTGTGTGCATTCATAGATGAAGGGAACAACTAAAGAACAGGGATCGACTTGAGATTAAGGCCAGGCAATGAATGGCCCCTCCCAGAAGAAATAAAAGTAGAGCAAAAGGGGAGTGGAGTTTGCAGGAGAAAATTAGTTCGCTTAATTGGTTCGTGACTCTCTGAGACTCCTTGCCAAGTTTTGCAGATATCGGCCTGACAGCTCTCCAAGCTAGATAAGGTCTGTGATTGTAAATCTTCCCTTGAAAGACTTTGCTGGATGTGAATGAGCAGAACTCAACAGTCAATTAATAAAAGGGGTTTTTGTCAGGACAAGAAGTTTTCTTCATGCTCTTGGGAAGCCTTGGTTAGAACAATACTTTGTGATCTTCTCCAAGTCTTTATCTTCAACTATCTCCTGCTATCACCACATCAATTATCCACACTTCCTTCTTCTTATATCTGGTGTGTTCATGAGCCAAGACTTTCATTGTCATAATTATTTGCCTGTGCCCTGTACAATTGTTGAGGAGTGCGACCTAACAGCATTTCTTTTGATCACATTTTTTTTTACAAAAGCCTGCTGACTAACCTCTCTTAAAAAAGAAAAAGAAAGAAAGAAAGATGAAAGCAGAAGGAGGAGAGGGGAAGGCAAAAACTTTTCCTTTGAATATATAACTTACGGAGTACATAATACTGCTCTTCAAGAGAACAAATGATGCACTAAAAAGAAAGTAAGTGCTACTTAAAATCTGCTCTCAGATTTCATTTTCTACCCACTTACTCTGCAAGGCAGAATAATAAGGAACAAAGGCAGGAAAATGTCCATATTGTTGGGTTGTGTTGATTCTATTGTTATGATTTTCCACAGTTTTTGTCAAACAAGCTATAACTCTGATTAAGTACACACAGTGGGGCTAAGACAGGGATGTCTTAGGGGTGCTGGCCTATGGGCCCATCCTGGAAACAATGAAGGACCGACCCACAGTGATTCTGCCAGAAAAAAGGGCAGCTCAGGAGAGTCATGTGTGACCCTCCCAGATCTGTTTTTAACCATGACAGCCTCTGCCACTGAAAATGGAGCTCTCACGCCCAGATTCCGTTTTCACTGGCAGAGGGCTGTGTTCTGACTTAGGCTTCCCCAAAAAGCATGAGGCAAAGTCCTGATCCCGCAAAACCCCTTTTATTAAACGAATGTGAATTCCTTTCATTCACATTCAGCAAAGGCCTGGTAAACAGTCTTTCAAAGGAATATTTATGACTACAGACCTTATCTATCTTGGAAAGCTGCCATGTCAATATTTTCCAAATGAGTGCTGTGCCAGGAAAGACTGGGCACAGAGTCTCTGAAATTCATGGACAGATCTTTGCACTCCTGAAATGAATCTAACGACCGAACGAATTATTTCCTGCAAAAGCCCACTCCCCTTTTGCTGCTCTTTTATTTCTTATGGGAGGGGCCAATCACTTTCCACCTGTGGCTTTACTCCCACGTCTACCCTGATTTCTGAGTTGTTCTTTTATACTGGCAGCTCTGCGCATGCACACACTGGGAACAGGCTCTAGCTGTTCATCTGTCTCACTGCTGTCTTGCACCTGATCACTGCCAGATGGCTTCAGCTCCATCTCTGCCTCTGACGCAGAGCCATCATCCGAACTTTCCCCAGCCTCCAGGACTGGCGCATGTTCCTCCCCAACCTCCTCATTGTCCAACTCTCCTGCCAGCTCCGCCGGCCACTGGTAGGTCACTAAAGGCTGCAGGCGGCTGTTGTGTCTGAAAAAAGGGCCCATGGGAGCCATGAGCATTACTCCGAGCTCCGCTTTCACTGGCAGGAGGCCGTCACGGCTGAAAATGAGTGACGTCAAGTTCACACGAATGATGTTGAGCTGGCCACGCCCATCCATTCCCCCCCTAAGATCAAACATAATCCTGATGCGGCCCTCAATGAAATCGAGTTTGACACCCCTGGGCTGTAAGCAACAATGTTTGGGGATGGGGAGAAGAATAACAAAATGAGCAGTACAATGCAAACACAGCCTTTTTTTTATACAGGTAGTCCTCAAGTGACCATAATCGAGCCCAAAATTTATGTTGCTAAGTGGAGCATTTGTTAAGTGAATTTGCCCTATTTTAGAACCTTTCTTGCAAAAGTTGTTAAGTGAATCACGACATTTGTTAAGTTATTAACACAATGGTTATGTGAAGGCACTCAGATTTCCCCATTGACTTGTCTTGTCAGACAAAAATAGATTATAGATTAAGGGAGCATAAAAACGGATTAAGGAAGAGGTTTTTTTTTTTACACCTCTGGATTCCCTGACTACTATCTATATACGTAAAAGAAAGATTCAATAAAGCGGATATATTGTAAATGTGATAAACCTATTGGAGACCTCATAACATTTTACTTCCCATTGATAACTGGTCACATCACTGTTATCCAGAAATACAATCTAGGAGTTGACAAAAAAACAAACAAAAAACCACACACATTGTGATATTTTTTTATCTTTTACAGACTGTTTATAATAGGACAATAAAAATGTTTTTTTCAAAATTAACTTGTCGCCTCCAATAGCTTTTTATAGTTCTCATTGACCATTTCCCCTATCAAGTAAAATACAAACTCACTCACTTACTTTTTAACTTCTTGGACATAATCCATATTTCGGTCAAACAGGTAGGTCACAGACTCTTTGATGGCTTCATGCTTGAAAGAAGAAGCCGTTCCAAAGACAGTAACATTGGGAACCGTTGAGCAGAGCTGAGCAATAGCTTGTCCCTACAAATGCATTTGTAAATTAGTTGCATGTATATATCAAACGTGTTTACCATTCATTACTGTAATTGGCTCTCTGCCCAAAAGTGATCTGAAAATACATTCTTTATTTTTTGAACTGCACAGTGGTTAGTGTGCAGTACTGCAGGCTACTTCTACTGCCTGCCGGCTGCCTGCAATTTGACAGTTTGAATCTCACCAGGCTCAAGGTTGACTCATCCTTCCCTCCTTCCAAGGTGGATAAAACGAGGACCTAGTTGTTGGGGGCAATAGGCTGATTCTGTAAACCTCTTAAGAGAGGGCTGTAAAAGCACTATGAAGCGGTATATAAATCTATGTGCTAAGTGCTATTTACCTACTGCTCAAAATCAATCTTATGTTATGCAATGTTATGTCACCATTGGGCAATATTATGTTAGCACCGCTTGCCATTTTTGAACTGCCCCCCTCCCCAAGTTACTTGTAACCTGTGCTTAAATAAGAGAAATTTTGAAAAGTAGCCTATTATTGTAATATATATGTAGGATTAAAAGTAGGCCAGACTTAGGAGAACAGATTTGTTTCTGAGATATGGTTGGATCAAAGAACCTCATATTGCTCTTGGCCACACTTGGCCACATGTAGCCACTGGTTAAGATGTTGTGTTTGTAGTTGTACGATTTGCCAAAGGGGACAACAGTTACTTGACTTTAAATTATCTTATGAAAGCTAAGCAGTCAGATCAGACTAAGAGCTCCATGGGGAACTTCCAAGACATTCTAGGGCCGTGATGGAAAACCTATGGCATGTGTGCCACAGGTGTCATACAGAGCTCTCTCTACGGGCACACGAGCTGTCACCCCAGCTCAGCTCCACTGCCCATGTGCATGCTTTTCCTGCTGACCAGATGATTTTTGGGTCTCTGCCATGCACGGGGAGTGGGGAGGGGTGTCCCATGTGCAAGCACAGGAGGAGTGGGGGGCATGGGTCACCCCCCCCAGCAGCCCATTTTTGGTCCCAGGAGGTTGCAGAGAGGCTTACTAGGCCCAAAATGGGGTGTGGGAGGGGATCATGTATGCATGTGCGGGGCGGCGGAGGTTGTGTACGGGGTCATGCATGCATGTGCAGGGGCAGGGGGAGCACAGGGGGGGGGGTCATTCATGCATAGCATTATGGGTGCAGAGACTTTTGTCACGCAATGACAAAAAGCCATCATTGTTCTAGTGGTTATGATCTATACTGGGAAATAGAAATAAAAATTCATCAAGAAGAAAAGTGTACCTCAATTCCAAGTGATGGCCAAGTCAAGATATATATTTACCAGAGTACAAAGATTTCTCATAATGTGAACTCATTGTAGATAGGAATTTATCTTTTAAATGAAGAGAATCAATTGGATAGCTTCCTCATTTTTCAGGCCTTCAAATCTTAGCCAAGAAGCACTTAGTTCTCTGCGGTCACAATGTTGGCTCAAACTTTGATTGTGAACCTCAACTGAACTTAGATTCCAAGCCCAATTTAATTTGTAAAAGCATGAACAATCCAAACTTTCAAAAGCTCCACTGCAGGCATAAAGTATGTGCCAAATGTTGTATTTCAGCTGCAAATGGGATTCCTGGGGATTGAGAGAAGAGCATGTCTTTCCAAACTCAATTACGAGCTGAAATTACAATGTTAACCATTCAGGTCTAGTTCCTTCTGTTTGCTGATGATTTCCAATCAACAAGGAAAAGGATGGTTCATAGAAAAACACAGTCCCTGCCTCTCACAAGTGCCTTAGTCATCTATGCCCTGTGAGATGGAGAGCTTTTTGTGCAATGCACCACGGAGGGAGAACTACAGGGAGAACATTTTTAAGCCATCACACCTTCTCTACATCCGACCAGCCTATTATTTTAATATCTTTGCTCTGCAAAAATATTGGAGAATACTTCTTTAAAGCTCCCCTGCTCGGATACAGAAAAATCAATGAGGTAACTGTATAATGAGCATGTTTCTCCCTTTAGACCAGGAATACCTGACATACTTGAACATTTTTTTAAAAATAAGAACCTTTGTAGGGAATTTGTCTCCTAGCCCTGTGATGGCAAATGTATGACGTGTGTGCCAGAAGTGGCACACAAAGCCATCGCTCCAGGCACCCGAACCGTTGCTTGTTGCTCTTCCGGGTCCAGCACACCATCCAGCTGGTCTTCACCCATGAGGGAGCAATGGAAGCCGGAAGAGCAGCTACCTGGTGCACATATGAGCACTTGGTGGATGCTCCTCTGGTTTCAGGCAGGCGCAGGTGCCCTGGCCACCTGTTCTTCTGGTCTCTAGCATACATGCGTGTGTGAAGACGAGCTCACCAGTGTGCATGCACATGCCAGAAACCGGAAGAGCAGCTGCCTGACATGCACGCTGGGCAGGTGCTCATCCAGTTTCCAGTATGCATGCCCATGCGCGCACTCCTGTTTCGGCACTTGGTGCTGAAAAGGTTCACCAACACTGTCCTAGCCCATCTTCTTATGTATTCAGAAGCTTGTTAAGTTTCCATACTTTAGCTGAGCAGCCCCCTGGTAACACCTGCTGCACTTTCCTTTGTGTACGCACACTTTGGGTTTGTAGGAGGAGGAATCACTGTCTTTTTGGTAAACGGGCTGTTTTATTTTATGCTACCTTGGCTGCATTTCAAATGTTTCTCGCCTGTGTAAAAGGACCGGGAAATTGCTCTTCAACTGGAATAGAGGGTTGTTTTATCTCTTAGGACTTTCAAACAGTGAAATTGGGAAATATAATTATTAAGTGGACAGTCTACTATTTAAATTAAACAAACCGCACTTGAAGTGGATGGGAGCATTTGCAAGGGGAACTGTCAGATTCGTTCTTGGTGGAAAAAAGAGAGCTGTAGGAAAATTTCATCCGGTTTGCTGTTTTAAAGCAAAGTGCCCTGATTCAGATATTTCCTAGATGTATGGACAAAGCAGAACTACTAACCTTCCCCTTAGTAACTCCCTGGAGAACTGGCAATGCAGCATTTGGCTCAATAACCACATGTAAAAATAGGAACTCAGAGGAGGGTTTCCCACAGAGCAAAGGGCTTCCATGATTAAAATATTTATGGCAAGCAGAGTTTTGCATTACATCTTATACTTTAATATATATTTTAAAGACATCATTTGCAGAGTGATGTGGAAATCTGACAGAATAGGCTTCTTGGTAATGAAAAATGAACATGCTTTAGGCAGTATCCTTGTATGAGGCGTACACTCAAATACCTTCCCTGTGGATGGATTTCCCAGTTTTGCTCACAGGGTGAGACACAGTTAGTACTTAGATCCAAATAACATTCCAGAAGGAAAGTTTTTCATCTCATAAGAAGGGAGAAACTGAGTTACTGTGTGGAAAGAAAATAAATAAAAATCAGATGAACCGATTTTCCCCTTTATACTATAAAGGTAAAGATAAAGGTTCCCCTCACACATATGTGCTAGTCATTCCTGAATCTAGGTGGCGGTGCTCATCTCTGTTTCAAACCCGAAGAGCCAGCACTGTCTGAAGACGTCTCTTGGTGAAAAATGGGGGCTTTTTGCCTTACCCCAGCCTGGGGGCCAGAGAGGACAAAACCCTTTTTTTCTTACTTACGTCTTTGAAATCTTGGTGTATTTTATAGTCCAAAAAAATACAGTATTTAAAGAACTGATGGGGTACCTACTTCCCACAATGATCTTAGGTGGATTATAATAACCCATAAAAACAACATTTTGGAGCAAATAAACCAGATCCTTCCCATCAGATGCCAGGTCACCCATACTGTGGACCTCTTGACTCATCCCCAATGCTTGGAAGAAGAGCCAAGTCTTCACAGTTTTCTGGAAATATAAAAGGGTAATACGTTCCCCACTCCATCCTTATAAAAAAAAATCTCAATTGCACTAACAGCACTGAAATCGAGGGAAGAGATCTTCTAATCCAGGAATCCGTGGGCCAGATCCGGCCCATGGGATGCAAGATCTAGCCCACGATGCCAGCCTGGAAACAGCAAAGGACCTGCCCCTGGAGCCTCTGCCAGTGAAAATAGAGCTCGGGGGGGGGGGCATCCATTTTCACTGGCAGAGGGCTGCAGAAGGCTGTCACAGCAGAAAACGGGGCATGAGGGGTGCCATGGCCATGCCCACCCCCCGGACACACACACACACACACACACCTGGCCCTCCAAGGTCAAACACAACCCTAATGCAGCCCTCAATAAAATTGAGTTGACACCCCTGTTCTAACATTTCATGAAACCTTCAGTTTCTTGGTGGCGTTGGCTTGAATTTTTTATAGTATTGATTTGGATGGCTTTAAATCTCGCTTTCCTTTTGAAAACATGTGAGAGGTTTATTGCTTTAAAATGTCAATAGCTGCCTTAAAGTCTTTTGTTGTAGTTTTTTTTAAAAAAAGAAAACACATGTTCAATATATTATTTGTTTTCAGTAATTGAATTGATGTCTTAGTTCATTCATTGAGCTGGATCCCAACTAAGATCTTCAAGACAAGTAGTTGGACCCCAACTACTTCATTCAAGACAATGATTTTGGAGACTCCTCTTTTCAGAGGATGAAGCAAAGTACATGTATCCTTTACTTTTTCCCTAAATAGTTTCTAATAGAGAAGACATAGTGGATGAAGTGAAAGGAAGAGACATGGGGAAACTGATTGTGTAATATTAGAGTACTTGTTATTAAGGAGAAAGCTTCAGTGGAGTTGAATGTGTATCTTGGATTACAAAAAGGTCAATGTTAATAAACTTAGAACAATAAATAAAGTTCCATGGCAAAACAAGGTAATGGGGAAAGTGGTTTACAGGGGTTCCTAATAAAGAAGATACTAGAATAAGAATTGCAATCAATTCTGACAAGGGAAATGAACACAAGAATTCACAGAATGTCTATTGAGATTCTCAGTCATCCAGGTCATGGTTGTCCCAAAGGTGCTTTTTTTTTTCAGGAGGCAACTGGACTTTCTGAACAAAACAATAACTTCATGAATGGCACAACATAGGATAACAAACCTATCAGGACAAGATTCAGCAGTCCATCTGCATTTAAAAGACAAAGGCAATTCTTTTGAAGACAGCAACATCCACATTTTAGACAGAGAAGTCTGCTGGTTTCAAAGAAGGGTCAGAGAGGACATATATGTTAAAACCGAACAGCCCTCTCCCAATGGGGTGGGGAGAATATGTCATCATCTATCTCCTGACTACAATACAGTCCTTTCAGCAGGACTCCACATCAGGTTACCCTGAGGACACAGATAAACCTCCAAGTGGCCTCAACGACCCTCTAAAAGATTGTAAATGATCAGCTTCCTTCAAGGAGTATAAATCCTCCCATTCCTCACCATCCAGTCAGAGCTGAAGAAGCATCTTGGATGAGAAGCGAAAATGTCTTCAAAGAAAAAAAAATCACTCTTGCCAGGTTTCTGCCCCTGAAGATCTGAGAACAAACATGGGCACGCACAGAAGATGTTGCAAAGATGTCTTGGAATTACAGAAATAGCTGTTGCGGTCCACTGGCAGCCTCGGAGCTGACAGCAGTCAGAAAGTGAGGAGGTTGAGAAGGAACATGGGCCAGTTCTGAAGTCTGAGGAAGGCTCAGACGAGGGCTCTGCATCAAAGGCAGAGAGGGGGCCAGGGCCATCTGGTAGTTATGTGCTGCCTCTAGAGCCTCTGGAGTCTGACATAAGCGAGGCAGAGGAACGGGGGGGGGGGGGCCCAGTGCACCCATGCGCAGAGCTACCAGAAGGCAAGAACAGCAAGGGCAAAAGGGGCAACTTGGAAGTGAGGCTTGGAGATGATTGGCCCCTCCTATAAGACATAAAAGAGGAGCAAACGGACTTGAGCCTTTGCAGGAAGCAACTTTGTTCATTCTGGTCGGTTTAAATTCCGAAGTTCCGTTTGACTCTGTGCTCCGTTTGGCCTTGCAAAACTAATTGGCAAATTAGGTCTCTGGCAGCATTTCAAGGGAGATAAAGGTGGGTGCTTATCAGCCTTACCCTGAAAGACTGTGGCAGACTTCTGTCGGACTCTTCCCAGACTGGTTGTGAATCATTACGGGCTGCGAATGAACCAAATTCGCAGCCGGTTAAATAAAAAAAGGATTTGGGGGACTAAGTGTGTGATTTTTACTGTCTCAGGCAGCCTAGGTCAGAACAATAGCACCGGAAAAGTTAAAGCTCAGAATGAGTTGAAATGGGCAAGGCATAATAAGATTTTTTTAAAGGCTTTTTCCCTCTTTATTTTGTTTTTTTTAAAAAAAACACCCTGATAACTGCTTCTTTGAAGTCTAGGCTATTCCTCCAATGCTTTCATGTCCAGTGAACAATTAAAAAAAATCCCCCTGCTAAGAAGCTGCATTCCTCTCGAAAGGAAAGGCCCTACCAATCACCCATCTCCTGGACAGCTTGTCTTGCAAGGCAAGTTAGCAACCAATGGAGAACTTTTCGTAAATCAATTCGTCCAAGACTACAAAAGACTTCCCACCCGTTTGATATTGCAAGATATCATGCGCTCCTGGAATGTTTGGAGCACTTGAAACAATGACATGGAACTTTTCATTAATGCAAAACGAAGTCCAAGATTCTTGTGCTACAGGACCTCCATTGTTTTACTGGCTGGCTCAAGAATGCTCATGACATTTGGGAATAAATGCGGTAGTTTGGCTGTCCTCCCTCCTGGTAGACATTAAAGCCCTGGAATATGTTATCCACACCAGCCTACAAATCACTCTCTTGAGCTTATGTCCAATGCCTACTCCCTTGCATTTTTTATAAACCAGCTTTATAGGCAATAATTGTTTTGGATTGTTACGCTGCAGATATTTTTCCTACATTGAGCTAGTGTGGGAGTCTCCAGACTGACCTTTTTTTTTTTTTTTTTTTGCAACTGTTTGTTATTAACTACATGATTGTATGGTGTTATTTGCAAACTAGATAAATGCTCCTGTGGAGTTCACTAACTCCTTCCAAAGTTCTCTTGAACCCAATTTTTTTTTCCTGGCTTCAAATGATTTGAATCCTGGAGTGAAATTCAACAGGTTCTGACAGGTTCTGGAGAACTGGTAGCAGAAATTTTGAGTAGTTCGGAGAACTGGCAAATACCATCTCTGCCTGGCCCAAGAGTGGGGTGGGAATGGAGATTTTGCAGTATCCTTCTCTTGCCCGCCCACCAAACCATACCCACAGAACCAGTAGTAAAAAAAAATTGAATTTCACCACTGTTTGAATGGTCTGCATTTGGGGGGCGGTTTGGGGGGGAGGGGGAGTAAGAGAAGGAGGAGGAAGAAAATATTTGAGAAAAATAAAGTTCTTTGTCTATACTAAATTAGAGTATCATGAGATTATAATTCCAGACAGTTATTGCAATGACTCAGGAGTAATCATTCAACACGAAAAAGGATATAGAGGTAAAGTGGGCTATTGCAATTATTTTACTCTCTTTGTTAGGCAGTTTGTAACTTATATGATCAAGATTTTGGCCTAGGTAAAGCTTATTACATCTTTGTTTTCTCAAGCATTTTGTGACATTGAATAAAGGTGAAGGTAAAGGTTCCCTTTGCACATATGTGCTAGTCATTCCCGATTCTAGGGGGCGGTGCTCATCTCCATTTCAAAGCCAAAGAGCCAGTGCTGTCCAAAGACGTCTCTGTGGTCATGTGGCAGGCATGGCTAAATGTTGAAGACGGACGGAACACTGTTACCTTCCCACCAAAGGTAGTTCCTATTTTTCTACTTGCATTTTTACATGCTTTCAGACTGCTAGGTTGGCAGAAGCTGGGACAAGTAATGGGAGCCCACTCCATTATGTGGCGCTAGGGATTCGAACTGACAAAGTGCCGACCATTCTGACAAACTCAGCGTCTTAGCTACTGAACCACCACATCCTTTTTTTTAAAAAAAGAACCCTTTTACATTATTCCAAAACCTACCCAACAGAGTATCTCTACTTCTACATGGGAAGTCCATGTGTGTTCACTTTTGGAAGCTCCTGTGGCTCTTTCTCCATTTTAACTTACCCAGCTCTCAACATTCATCCCAATTTTCAGCAATAGCCACCTATTCAAAGGCAGACTTCACAAGCCAAGAATTATTCTTCTATTTTATTCTGAAAGGAAGTCATTACAGACTTTCTTGGTCAAGGTGCCAGTTTTCTTTCAACAAGCTGGGCTTGAAACAGCACATATGGCATTAAAGTACACAAAATCTGCTAAGCAGACTGAATTCTGGCAATTCTGCTTGTTTTAAATCCAATGCTATTAATAGTGAAATTTAAATTTAAATACTTGTATCTTTTCCCTCTATTTAATGACGTAAACCCCAGTGGTGGGTTTCTATTATTTTTACTACTGGTTTGCTTGCACACATGACACTTCTATGCATGCGCAGAAGCATCCGGGTGGGTGGGCGGAGCCTCCCGTCACTGCTACTACTGGTTCACCCAATCCGAGCTGAACCAGCAGCAACACACCTCTGGTAACACACACACACACCTGAAGACACTTTCTTCTGGGTAGGAGAGACTTTTATGTGGTTGGTGGGGTTTTTCTGACATCTAGCCCTCTCAATTTAAATAGAATAGAATAGAATTCTTTATTAGCCAAGTGTGATTGGATGCACAAGGAATTTGTCTTTGGTACAGATACTCTCAGGGTACATAAAAAGACAAGATACATTCATCAAGAATCATAAGATACAACACTTAGTGATAGCCATAGGTTACTAATAAGCTATCAAATCATACTAGGAAACAAACAATATAAATGTTAAAGACACAAGCAACTTGGTTATAGTCATAAGTAAGAAGAGATAGGTACTAGGAAAGAGATAGGAAGAGAAGAATAATAGTAATACAGTCTTAGTAGATAATTTGACAGTGTTGTGGGGATTATTTGTTTAGCAGAGTGATGGCATTTGGGAAAAAACTGTCCTTGTGTCTAGTTGTTCTGGTGTGCGTCATTTTGAGGGTAGAGCTGCACAATCTACAACAATAGCAATTATTGATACAGTACTGACAATCAAAGTTGTAATTCTTTATAGGACAGACATGAAACGGAATCAACTTACCACTCCGCCCCCAGCAGAATGAACCAGCACGGACATGCCTTCTCTCAAGTTGGCAACTTCGAAGAGCATCATATATGCCGTTACAAAGTTCATAGGAAAAGCAGCTGCTTCAGAGAAGCTCATGTCATCAGGAATTTGGTACACAAAGTCAACCGGGGTGCACACAACCTCAGCCCAGGCATTGTAGTTAGTAAATGCCATGACTCTGTCTCCAATCTGAAATCATTGGAAAGAAACACAATCGGATTACAACTTTAGAATAGACTAACAGAGTTGAAAGGGACCTTGGAGGTCTTCTGGTCCAACCCTCTGCTTAGGCAGGAAACTACACCACTTAAGACGAATGGTTATTCAACATTGTCTTAAAAACTTCCAGTGTTGGAGCATTCATATTCAACTTCTGGAGGCAAGTTGTTCCACTGATTAATTGTTCTAACTGTCAAGAAATTTCTCCCATTGCTTCTTGTCCTACCCTCATGTGCTTTGGAGAATAGTTTGATTCCCTCTTCTTTGTGGCAACCCCTGAGATACCTTCTGGATAATCCACATGGAGGCACCCCCCAAAATACAGGCTGGTTTCAGATCAGTGGCAGTTATCCTTTCGTGATTGTAACATCCAGCAATCACGGATACAACCACATACAGTTTTGGTAGATGAGAGTCACTGTGGGAATAAGAATGATGCAAAATATGTAGAAATATGGCAGTTATTATTATACCATATTTCTACCCCATTTTTCCATCTGGGCAGGACTGTATTTTTCCTGAAATAGAGTGATAGATCTACCCAGTTTCTTAAATGAGACCGAGATCTCTTCCTCTTGAAACTAGAAGAATTGTACAGAAAATAGTCTGTCCTAGGAGTTTCCAAATTCGGCAATTGTGCACTTCAATTTCCAGAATTCCTCAGCCAGCCATGTTGCCAAATTTGGAGATTCCTGGTTTATCATAAAACCCACCTAATGCTTCCCATAATATTTTGGGAAGGTAAGTTAAAAATAATCATTGGTGTATTGCTTAAACCAGTTCATAGATCTGGCTTATTCCAACCCGAACAAAATCAGTCCTATATGCTCCAGATTTTAAATATGCTAAAAAGTATTTAACAGTCATTGCAAATCCACCCACTCTTTGCATTCTTAGTAGCTGTGGATTTAAATTCATGTATAAACTGTTTCAACTAGGCTGAATTGTGTTTCAGAGAACACTGCTTGATTCAGATTGCAACATGTGTATCTCTGCATTCTTCTGCCTACGGTACATTCAACTTTATCAGTTGCTTTTGATAGTTTTTAAAGAAGGAAGCCATTCCTTACCTTGCTCATATATAATTATTCATACAATACAATATGGGGAGAGGGAAAGGAAGACTGTTTTCACATATAAAGTAGCAAAAATCATTTTTTTAAAACTGGATGTTATCGTTCTCCATAGCATGTTCAAGTACTCAGTGCAATTTTATTCAGATGTCAACACAGAATTACAGCTTTAGAGAGGGAGGAAAGTGAAATTAAACTGCAAAGCTGACTCGCCTATTGATAAAAATTCAAGGCTTTTGCTACAGTTGTCTGATTCTTCGCATGAGCTCATCTGAAATAAAATTATTTTGGTTACTTAATTAGCTTGGTCCATTGTACTTTTTTCTCCCGAGACGTGTATTGTTATGACAAATGAAATAATTGCTAGTGAGCCAGCAGGAATACAGTGTTACGGCACAGTTGGGTGCCATTAATGTGAGCTTCAATTCCATGCTTCAAAGATTGTCTGGCTGTAGAGTAGTATAGTTCTACCCATTTGCCTTTAGAAGTAAACTTACATATTTACATTAAGCTATTATTATATTAATATAATTAATTTGTATTAATAGTTATATTCATAACTGGCTTCGACCATCCCATTTTGAAGGTGGCTAGTACAAGATCACATTTCCACCCTATCTATTTTCGGTTCTTTATCCATTTTAATATTAATTTTAATATTTTTGCTTTCATTCTTCTTGTTGTGCCATATCCGTCAACAAACATTGGCGATCATGTTGGCAATCCTCTTTTGTCAACATGAAAAAGTGCTGGTGAATTTTGTCCAAACCAGTCCCTTAGGTTTTTCAATCATTCCCTGGAGGATTAAGTGAAGATATTTTTCCAGGTGTCACATCACATGTCCAAAATATTCTAACTTTCTCTTTTTAATGGCTTTGATGATTTCCCTTGGCTTTCCCAGGCAACTTATCACCTCCTCATTTATTATTTTGTTAACTCAGCTTTTATGTAACAGCCATCTATAAATCCACATTTCAAATGCTTCTAGTTTCTTCAAGTGATTTTCTGTCAGAGACCAACTCTCTACTGGATAGAATAGATTATTTGCTTTCATGGTGATGTGTAAATTGTTTTATTTTGTTATTTATGACATTTATAAACTGCCCAGAATTGCTTGGTAGAGAAGATGGGCAGCATACAACTTTAATAAATAAAAACCAATATTTAAGAGTGCTTATTTCTTTACAGGTTACTCAGGATTTCAGTCTTACTGAATCACGTTGCAATTTGGGATTTGCTTAGGAAGTGGAGAGTTTTGGTCTCAATTAATCTTGGGAGATCGCTATCTGGAGATGGCCAGGTGCGAAATACAAAAACAGCAACAGTGACCATTGACACTGTCAATTAACTTGAACTTGATCAAGTTCAAGAGCTTTGTTCAAGAAAAATGCACTTGATAAAGTTTGGACCTTGAACTTTAACTTCCAACATCTCTATATTCATTTAAAGAGATGGAGTTGTAATCCAACAACATCTGGATAAGCTGGGGATCTTCATTGCTATTATAAATGTTGACTAAATAATGAAGCACCATCGCATGATTAAAATGGGCAAATAAAACAGCTGAGTGCTGTAGGATGAATTAAGATAACCATCATAATGTGTGTGTTTTTTTTTTTAAAAAAGGCAGACCACAAGCTAGGCGGACTCAAATCTATCTGTACATTTTTTTATAATATAAAGTATTATTTTCATAAACTAGCAATACTGGGAACTGAAATAGTCCCCACCGTATGCAAATCCTATCTTCTGTTTTTAACAAAGAGACCTATTGAATGTTAAAGGCTGTTAAATGCTCAATCACTGATTATATCTTCCATCATAGATCATCTCAAATTCTATTAGCTCTGCATGTCTTTCAGGTGACGACCTTTCGAAATGAGAAAATGAAACAGCAAGCATCTCTCCCCTTTTATCTCCCACATATTCATTTATTTTGAAATTGTGCTTTTTGATCTTGATCAAATTCTACTGCCCTCTTTTAGAGCCCAACTTGTCTTCACTCAAAGGCTGTGGGGATGTGGATTACGAGGCTTGTAGCATGGAAACATTTATAGCATCTTGAGTGGTGCCACATTTCAACTGCCTTGGGATACAGAAAAGATTACAAACTTGTAAAATTTGCTGATAGCTTTAAAATGCAGCTGAAGCAGGATGACATGCCTATTTGTCTACCTCTTCTTCTACCCCCATCAGCAAAAAGTAGATTTTTTATGTGAAATAAAATGGTTTGCCTGCTTTCTTTCATTATTACCAAATAAAAAATGATACAGTATTTGCATACAATAGGTGAAAGCTAAGTTGAATATCGCAATTACAGTCCCATTCCAAAGAAGTGGGAACAAACTCATTCAACTGGCTGATGAATTGCAGATTTGGAGTGAAGTTTCTTGCAACCATAACTGGTGGAAATTCATTTGTGCCTTCAGTTGAATGGCTATACTGTACTAGTTGTTTACCCAGTATGTTAAAGTCTATTTGGCTTAAGAAGAATGAACTTCAGCTGTTTGAGTTTAACTACAGTTGACTGAGTTTAGAAAACTTGCTAAATGTCTATGGAAATTCTCAATCATCCAGATCATGGGTGTCCAAAAGGCAACTTGACTTTCTTGGTGTATCTTGCTTGAAAATGTTTCATTTCTCACTCAAGAAACTTCTTCAGTTCTGGATTGAACTGAAGAACCTTCTTGGATGAAAAGCAAAATGTTTTTAAAGACAAAAAACCCAACAAGATAAAGCATCTTGGAAAAGCAACTTTGGAACAAAACAGCTAAGCCACAAACAAGCAAATTTCATTGAGCTTTTTCTACAACCCCAATCTTTGCATGGGAAATTTTGAGAGCATGGGATGGACACAGGCATTGAATGACAGCTGAGGTGGAAGACTATTCCATTCACAGATTGGCTGGTTATGTTTACTGATTATAGTCCCAGACCAATAAAACACAAATATATTGTAAATGTAAGACTATATATGGTAAGCCAACCTTAAAACAATAAATAATAAAAAGAGGGCAGCATTCAAATTCTACAATCCATAGCAATATAGCAATAGCAGTAGACTTATATACCGCTTCATAGGCCTTTCAGGCCTCTCTAAGCGGTTTACAGAGAGTCAGCATATTGCCCCCAACAATCTGGGTCCTCATTTTACCCACCTCGGAAGGATGGAAGGCTGAGTCAACCCTGAGCCAGTGAGATTTGAACCGCTGACCTGCTGATCTAGCAGTAGCCTGCAGTGCTGCTTTTAACCACTGCGCCACCTTGGCTCTTTGTATGGACCTTATTTGCTGGATTTCTAGACAAACCTCATTTTCTTAAGAGCCAATCATGTCTCCCATATGGTTGACTATAGATTTTTCCCCTAGTAGAACATAAAGTAATGTGTTCTGGTGAAAGTTAAAAAATAAAGATTTTGGGGGGTAAAATGTCCATGAATAGTAGGTTTTATGCCCACGTTAATTTTTCTTACTCCTCTTTGGTTACATTACAAATGTTTGCACATTTATAAATTGTCTTCATATTTGTTAGGGATTTACTGATTTTATTTATAACTAGCATGGTATTCCAGTACTACCTGGTAAAACAGAGGTGTATATTTTGATATTTACTAATGCCATGAAACTGATATTTACAATCCATAACTATTGCTGAAATGTTGGCAATATTTTAAAGGGTTGCTTGCTTTTAATTTTTTTAGGAGGAAGTCTGCAGCCTCTTGCTCAGCAAGACAAGTAAAATTTATTCGTGCCAAATACTAAGGGTGATATAGTAGACAGTTTAACAATTCATAAGTTACTGTCTTGACTGCAGTCTGCACAGAGGTAAATGCAGTTATCTTCTGATTGTCTGAATAGCCCTGGGTTATTTCTCATTGTATTTTCAAAGAAAAACAGATTTAGAGCCCAAAAGAAATTATTGCTTTTCCTTTTCAGCTGGAATCTCAAACTCAGATTGCCATGAATGTTACTTGAGACTAGCTCAAAAGACCAAAGGCCTTAACAATGAAATCTCTAATGAGTCAAGGATGAAGAAAATAAGGGCAATAAGTACACAAATATTAAATAGATGAACTTTACATAACTACATTTGGGGTTTTATATAACGCTCTTAGAAGCAGGGATCGCTGTGGATGTTTCTTGTGTGGAGAGCAGCTGGAATCATTGAAGCTGATGACTATGTGGAAGCAAGCAAGGACCCTTGCTTAATGTGAATCCCTCAAATTCCAGATGTGGCATTTCCTACTAATTCCATTGGGCATCAGCCTGAATAGGGTCCATGGATCCTGTCATCACCTCTCTAAGCAGGCATCTACTTAAGGTGCCCTTGGAAGAAGAGGGAGCAAGGCTAACTTGGCCAGTCATCTAGAATATCTTGCATGAACCCAGTGAATGCCATTGTCCACTGTCCTGGAAATCATTTCCAGTCATCTCCCTTCAGCACCAAGGAGGATCCGGCCAACACTGCTGACAAACTTCAACACTGTCCAGGTTAAGTCAGCTGATCTTCTGCAGGGTTTACAACAATGGAGGTGGAGTTTTACTCTTCTGGGTCACAGGCAAGTCAACTCCCTCCTTCTCTTCTTCCTTCCCACATTTGTCCATCTAGTTTGCTCTTGCCTCCCTTGTTACCATCCCACATCTTCTGAAGTAAGATGGGAGTGGTAAGTTCTTGTCAGATGACACCTGTATATTGCACTCCTTCCTTTAAGTATTTTTTTTTTAACAAAAAATGACTTGGTAGGTTATAAATTTGAGAACCACCTTTGCAGTATCTTAGTGTTGTGGCCTGCCGCCAGCCAGCAGAGCTGGCAGCAGAGTCGGACAGTGAGGAGGTTCGGGAGGAATAGGGGCCAATCCTGGGGACTGAGGAAAACTCAGACAAAGGCTCTGTGTCGGAGGCAGAGAGGGAGCTAGACAGCAGCGAGGCAGAAGAACAGCTGGAGCCTGTTCCCAGTGTGTGCATGTGCAGAGCTGCTAGAAGATAAGAACTTCTAAGAAAGCAGGGTCAACTTAGAAGTAAAGCCACACCTTGGAGGTGATTGGCCCCTCCCATAGGAAACAAAAGAGGAGTGAATGGGGAGTGGGGTTTGCAGGAAACAATTTGTTCATTTGGTCCGGAAAGTTCTGTTTGTGATTCTGTGCCAAGTTTTGCTTTGTCCTGTGTTCTAGTTATCTGGCAGCGCTCCAAACGAGATAAGGTGCGTGTGGATAAACATTCCTCTGAAAGACTCTTTGCTAAAGCCTTGCTGGCTGTGAATCAGAGTGGGTTCCTACCAGTTCGCACCTATTTGGTAGAACCGGTTCATCAAATCTACCGAACCGGTTAGAAGAGGTTCCACCAGTGGACCCAGAAAGCAGGCCACACCTGCAGAAGAGGTTCAAAAAAAATTTGAAACCCACCACTGCCACACACACACAGACACACACAGAGAGAGAGAGAGAGAGAAAGAGAAAAAAAGGAAGAAAGAAAGAAAGAAAGAAAGAAGAAATAAAAAGAGTGAGAGAGAGATGGAAGAAAAAAAGAAAAAAGGGACAGAGAGACAAAGGGAAGGAGAGAGAGGGGGGGAGAGGGAGAGAGAGAGAGAGAGAGAGAGAGAGAGAGAGAGAGAGAGAGAGAGAGAGAGAGAGAACACATGGCCGGCAAGCCACTCCCACAAAGGAGGCCACACCCACAAAGTAGGTTCCAAAAATTTCTGAAACCCACTACTGCTGTGAATGAAAGGAATTCACAGTCATGTAAATAAAATGGGTTTTGTCAGGAGCAAGACTTTACTTCTTGCTTTCTAAGGAAGCCTGAATCAGAACACTTAAGTCTTCATGTTTCACACGGAGAACTTCACCCTATTTGATTTTGCTTTTCATCTTACTCAGTTTGCCCTCGAGGAGTGTATATTCTATTAGGACCAAGCATAACTATTGTCATTAAGGGATGATGATGATGATAATGGTGATGATTTGTTTGTTTTGCAGTACTGCACATCTTCTCCTATGCAGGAAATGTTGTTTTGGTTACATCACCAATAGTGTTCCTAATGTGAATTTTGTTTTTTTTTCAAGAGAGAATTATGTTATGATGCCTTTTAAAACTGCTTTTATACCACTGCTGCTGTGCATTTGCTATTTTTGTATTTATATATATTTATATAGCTGCTATATTTAGACGTATTTCTACGCCAGCCATTTTAAAACCAGTTTCCTGGTAGATATAGAACACAAATTAGAATGGGGATATGTAATTCAATACAATACAATCACAGAGTTGGAAGGGACCTTGGAGGTCTTCTAGTCCAACCTATTCTAATCCCAAAGCAAACAAACCATTTTATGGTACAACCTGAGCTATGAACAAGTCCATTTAATCATCAAGTGCTCTACCACCATTTGAAATTCACAATACGTTAGAATTCAACATTGGAAAGACACTGTAGCATGCCAGGATATTTAAATGAGAGTCTGCACATAACACAAATCAGCAATAGTTAAGTACATACATTACATAATAAAACCCAAACAGACCATGTTATTGTTTATAACAGTGGTTCTTAAAACCTTTTTCACCACAAACCCCTTTAAATACTTTTTGTGGCCATGAACCATGGCCAAAGATCCACAAGACCTAACTCAAGATTCAAATCATGACATTTCTTCAAGCCTTTATGGACCCCCCCTTTGATGCCATTGTGCCCCCCCATAGGGTCCGTGGACCACAGGTTGAGAACCACTGCTTTATCATGGCTTAAGGGTATCTTGTTTTGTTCTCAAGCACTATCATATTACCTCATAGCCTTTCACATTTTCACCCAGAGCTTCTACAATTCCAGAGCATTCAAATCCAGGTATAAGTGGTGTTTTAGGTGGATTATCAATGTTCCCCTGGCGAACCATCAGATCAATAAAATTTAAGCCACTGTAAGGGGAAAAAATGAGAAAGGAAGATATGAAGGCCTGCATTCCAAGGTAGCTGATAAACACAATCTATCACGCCATTCACAACCATATTTTAGTGACCAAAACCCAAAATGCTCTTTATAAGAGATTTCTTTTCTTTCCCACCCTCACCCAAGCTGAGTTCACTGTTCATCTTTTGGGATATTCCTAGGAAAAACTCAGGTTACATAGCTTTCCTTTGTCTACAGCTAAAAACTCCTTTGTTTATGCTGCTTTGGAAAATAATATTCAAATATTAGGACTTTGCAAAAATGAACCCATTCAGTTTACAACTGAGTAGAAACTGACAATGCAGGGTGAGGAGTTTGCAAGTGGTTTGATTTTTAAGGAAGCTATTATGCAATTCCATATTAATGTAGCATGCAATTTTAAAAAATGAAACATAACATTCATTTCCCACAAATACTGGTAACTTTTGATTGCTCCCCATGGTCCAATATCTTTCAAAAAGGTGGTGTCAGCTCATCCATGAGCTCCAGACTATTAATCAAATTGGTTATCATGAACGTATTACGAGTAGTTCTCAACTTATAAGCATTCATTTAGTAACCATTCAACGTTAACAATGATACTGGAAAAAAATGACTTATGACAAGTTTTCAATGACCATTGCAGATCCCTACAGTCACATGATCAAATTTTAGGGCACATGGCAACTGGCATGTACCTATGAAGGTTCAGGATCCTGGGATCATATGATCCCTACTTGCACACTTTCCAGATGGCTTCCAACAAGCAAAGTCCATGCGGGGGAATCAAGATTTGCTTAACGACTATATGAGCCACTTAACAACTGCCTTAGTAACTCTGCCAAAAATGGGACGTAACTCACTGAACTGTCTTTCTTAGCAATTGAGTTTTGTGGTCATAAATTGAGGACTACCAAACTTCCTTGTCACACCAGTTTCCCTGGATTTCTGTAATATACAGTCTATAACAATCATGGCAACCTTCAAAACCTGTGTGGAATTTTGGACAAAGATATCTGAATAACCCAGTTCAGTCCTTGAGTTTTTCAATTCCCACTAAATAGGTTAATGTTCCCCTCACACATATGTGATAGTCGTTCCCGACTCTAGGGGGTGGTGCTCATCTCAGTTTCAAAGCTGAAGAGCCAGCGCTGTCTGAAGACGTCTCTGTGGTCATGTGGCAGGCATGACTAAATACCAAAGGAGCATGGAATGTTGTTACCTTCCCATCAATAAAGTGGTCCCTATTTTTCTACTTGCATTTTTACATGCTTTCGAACTGCCAGATTGGCAGAAGCTGGGACAAGTAACGGGAGCTCACTTCGTTATGTGGCACTAAGGATTCGAACTACCGAACTGCCGACCTTTCTGATCGACAAGCTCAGTGTCTTAGCCACTGAACCACTGCGTCCTATTAACCCTAAACATGTTAGTGGAAATAAGACAATGGTTATCCCCAGCGCTGGGGAAAATTTTTTTCTGAAGCTAAGCTGTTCGTGTTTTGCTTTATTGAAAGACAAAAATGTTATTCTTTGGGTACTTAAGCCTCATTTGCTGAAAAGGGCTTCAAACTGGTGAACGCTGCCTCATTATTTTTTGTTGATGTGCTTTTTAAAGATTTCCTACATTCCAGTTAGACTCCTTCTCTCTTTGTCTCTTTCTCTGTGCTCCTACTCCTTCTGAGTTAACATTTTTAGCAGAAAGAAAGAAAATACTCTTAATGGCTAACTCCAATATATAAAAACCCTGAGATGGTGAAATAGAGAACTCTTGACAGATTATTGAATTAGACGTGCATTAGAGTAAAAAGGAGAAGAATCATACTCTTCTCTAACCCATGCTCATTGCTTCCCCCCACCAAACATAAGCCTTTGGTAAACAGTAATACGATGCTTAGTGTTGCAGAATTTATTTTATAAGGAAGATCAGTAGAATATGAAGGACTGCGTAAAGCAAAACAACTCCACTCTGCAGCAATGGAAAGGAAGGCTGACATAATATAGATGCTAGACAATGACAGACAGCTACCATTTCTAATGCGGAATGAAATGTAATACCATCCAAGATCAGATTGCATTCACCTCCGTCCCCAAGGGTAGACAAACTATACATTCGAAGTGTTTTGGACTACAATGCCCATAATCCACGATCCTGGGTTGATTATATGCCACCAGGTTAGCATCCGTTCTTGTGATTGTACATAGGTTGACTTTCTCCAAGAGGCTCTTGCCCCAGCCTGGTCCTTCAACTCTTTCAATGACACCCTTATTGCCAAACTACTAGAATCAAGTACATTGATCTTGCTGTTGGCTGCCCTCTCATTATTATTCTTTCCACTTTTCTCAACATTGTAGACTTCTCAAGAGAGCTTGGCTCTTTGCAAAATGTATTAAATGTCAGGCCTGCAGCCATCTTTTCTTTTGGATCTCTGGCCTGCCCTTTTTATTATTCTTCTATGCAATTTCTATTGTGGAAAAATTGGAGGGGGGATTGGAGGAGTGAGATGCGTTGTAGGCATAACAAAATTCTTTCTAGAAAGTCAAGGTCATCCTTTGTCTTTGCACCTCTGGACCTGACCGGAACTGGATGGGTGGAACTGCCAACATGGCAGTGGGAGGTTGGACCATGTGATGGACTTGGGGGCAAGATCTTGAACTTTCAACTAGGTGGGAAAACCCGGGAAGCTTTCAGATTTGGGTTTTTCCAGATGTGCCATCATGGCTCTCTTAATAAATTGGAACCTTGAGTAATACTTTGCCTCAGACTCTGGTTTAATTTTGGATGCTATTTGGAACCCTGACATTAAATACATGATTTGAGCTGATTATTCACACTTTGAATGAAAATTCTAGAATTCTGGGGATTCAGTAAAACTAGGCAGATTTCAAATAAGCCACAAAATCCAATGTATGCCTGGCCCTTCACAATACAACTAATTGTTTCCACTAAACAGATGCCTTAATGTTTCTTTCAAGGTTAAAGTCTTTTAAAATAAGCACTGCAGCATTTCACCTTGATTTTTTTTCTTCCGATAAAAATGCCAGGGCTTTTGTATAACAGGAGCCAGACTTGGATAGCAGAAATGTGATTTTTCTGACCTAGTGGCACACAGGAGTTATTTCCATTTCTTGAACTTGGTTGGAAAATGCTTTGCAAGTGATGCCTTCCTCATGCCAAATCTTCACTGAAACATTTTCTACCTTTACACTGCCAGAGCATCAATATTCAGTCATCCATGAGTGCTTCTCGGCTGGAATTTCATTTCAGCATGGATGCCAATGCAAGGTGACAGTACAAAGTTATATTTGCTATCAGGACACGGTAATGATGTCAGGAGATGCAGCTCCAAATTCTGTCTGTGGACGTCTGATGCATGTGGGCATTTCATGCATGGATGGGCTATATGGGAAACTCCATTTTCAAACATGTGAAATGTTTTAAATAATAGATTAGTCTTTCTCAGCCATACCCACTACTGTCTTACCCTTGGATTGAAAAGGGTATTTGGACTGAGTATCAGAGATGTTCAAATCTCTGGTGGATTCCCCAGTTTAAGCTGCAGAGGTGTTTGGTTGTTGTTGTTGTTGTTTTAGCTTTTGAAGCTCTGCCTTGAGAGGACATTTTGAATCACTTCTCTGCATATTGTTTTGAAAAATCTGTGGCTTCATAAAGAGCTCCAACTCCTGCTCACTCTACTAACATATGCTTTAAAACATAGGTAAAGCTTCCCCTCGCACATAGGTGCTAGTCGTTCCTGACTCTAGGGGGCAGTGCTCATCTCCATTTCAAAGAGCCAGTGCTGTCCAAAGATATCTCTGTGGTCATGTGGCCGACATGACTAAATGCCAAAGGCACATGGAACCCTGCTACCTTCCCATCAAAGATGGTTCCTATTTTTCTACTTGCATTTTTACATGCTTTCAAACTGCTAGGTTGGCAGAAGCTGGGACAAGTAATGGGAGCTCTCTCTGTTAAGCAGTGCTAGGGATTTGAACGGCCAAACTGTCGACCTTTCTGATTGACAAGCTCAGCATCTTAGCCACTGAGTCACCACGTCCTTATACCATAGCCTAATAAACCTGTGATTTACCAAAATGTTTTTAACCAGGGCCCAAATTGATTAGGGTTTCTAGGACTCAGCCTTACCTCTGGAGATCATTTCCCTAAAATCTGGTAGAATGAATTAACTTTTTGAATTGTTCTTTGAAACATGCACCTAACTGAAACTATAGTGTACATATTGTATGTTTGCTACAGATCAAAGAGGTATTACAGCCTATTAATAGCTCATTGGCCAAACAATTCCTATGTCTCTGTTTTGAATTTCTAGGATAGTCACACATACGTCATGGGAAGAACATATAGGAGGTGGCACGTGTGCACATCCAAGAACATAAGAGAAACACAAAAAGACACTGTGAAACTCTTGGTCAAGGTTCCAAAACAATGTGGAACCCCCAAAAGAATATCCATAAAGATGGATACACTCCACATTCACAGCATGCTGATTAATTGTTGAAAATCTGGAGGTTGAAAGAAAAAATAGAACACGTCTGAAATAAGCCAAATTAGTTGGATTCTTGAACTGAAACTCTCTGCAGTACATTTTATTGTGATGGCCAACACTTCTTTCCAGCCATTTGGGAAACATGCACTTCTAATCACTTAATCAGATATTACATGAAAACATGCAGCCTTATTTCACCATCATTGCATAAATATCAAGGACGCACATGATAATTTTATATTTCTCTGCAAATTGCAAACCCCAAACCTGCTACAACACAATGTTGGCAACAGTGCTCAAAATCCCTCAAATAATGACCTGGGTTTCAAACTAGCCTTAACGAGTATTTAAATTGTTACTTAAGAGTACTTTGAATTATTATACATTTAGGGATATATTAATTTTTATGTATTTGTCTAATGTTTTTACTCCTCCTTATAGTTTGTAGATTTTTGTGTGTATGTACTATATGGGTGCATGCTGTGTGTGTGTGTGTCTGTGTGTGTATGAATGGATGGATGGATGGATATGTATATGTATGTATATGTATGTATGTATATGTGTGTGTATGTATCTATACACACACACACTTTTTAAATATATATTATATATATATATATATATATATATATATATATA